AATTCTGCTAAATACTAGTCAACAACACTTATTGGAATTTGCCCGGTTAGAAGATTTGCAGGTCTTCGCCAGACCGCTAGCCAATGGTTGTGGCAACCACTCAGTGTTCAAAGATGAGCGAGGCATCCCGTTGACAAACACCTACAGATACAAAGTGTCTTAGCTATTGGAACCTGAGATCAGAATGATGTGGATGTGAAATGATCAAGATGAACATGACGTAGCTGGGAAATGCGTGACATGATGCATACATTTACAACGTAGATGAGATGATATGACGGCTGTGACGTGACAGAAACGCATGGATCGTCCGATGATGGTCTTTTTGAATTTCGTCGGAAAGCTATTGCTTATACGCGATCAGATTTCCATGCTTAAAATATCGTGAGAAAAAGTACAATATTTTGACAGTCACGGTAATAGAAGTACCATTTTGGAACTCTAAATTACTATTATAGGAGAACTTTTCACCGAACTTCCAAACTTCCAAACAGCTGACTTTCATGTAACATAGATCAGCCGCTAGCTTCTCGTTGCGTGTGAAATCTCAAGTTAATTCAAAAAAATAAAGCCTTCTAGATTAATTCATCACTCTTCCAAATTATCGAAAGTGCTGGTGTAAAAGCTTCACAAAATAATCAATACTAGTACAACCAAAAGTGTTAGATGTAAAAAGTCGTATTTCACTTTTTTTCTTTCTTCTTTTACTTGTCTTCGCGATATTTTTTGTTATTCTACGTACTATAGAGGTAATATAAAATTTCGAGACATTGCAAATATCAATCCAATAAAGCACAAAATGGCGAATACCTTTTAGTTCATGAAAAATATTGTGATATGTTGTGACAAAAAAGCTTAATGAACAAATAATCTCAATCTATCAGTGCCTTTTTTATTTTATCTTCTTATGGTAGTGTTGTAATGTTATAACTATCTATCCAAGGATAGAGAGATAACTTCGATGGAATAGTGTTAGCACATGCGCCTCGTATGGGTTAAGCGTCGGTTCAACTCTCAACAGGGGTTCAAGACTTCGCATATCACTCAGCATTTCGAGGATAAATGATTTCATTTCAGCATTGATTAGGAAGTACATGGACATAGACCAATTCGGAAAAAACGACTTAGATATTCAGATGATAATTATGTTACAACTGCATCACCGATGAAAAAATGTTCGCTCTAATAAGCACGATAGAGAAATCTCAAATTATAATTGTAAGGCGTGGGCTAATCCTATCTTGTAATTTTCTACTCCGCCTTCTACTTTTTGAGAAAATTATCCCGTTTCTTGAACTTTCTGCTATATATACCCACACGACTAAGTAATCCAAAAAACTATGATTATCTTGAATACATCTGGCGCGGCGAGTACAAATAGAGTAGGCGGTTAGAGGTGCTCAGCGATATGAGCAGCGCAGGTGATTCCATCTAATGACCCGGATGAAATAATCCTCGGCGTTCGGAAGAGTAAAAAAAAGCATGATTTGATATTTCCAATATGCCTGCACAGAAAAATGCTGCAGGCTGAATATGTATATAGTAGCCACGATACTCAGTAGAGTTGAACGCACGGCGTTTCCTTGAGAGACAGATTGACGCCAAGCATTTTATTACTTATTCACCGAAATTCTCATGTTTTACTGCTTCATAGAACCTGTAGACTGCGCCCGTGTGTTGAGCTATGATATAAAACTCGTGCTCATTCCCTGGCAGGGTCACACAAACTGTGAATGAGCTGAATATTTGAATGTGGTAGTAGAATGGTTCCAGTTGATAAAGGTAACAATGGACACAGTTGATGAAAGTAACAGATAGAAAGCGACGAGATGATACTAAGATAGAAGCTTATTGGAAAACCCAACGTCCAAACATCACTGCAAAAAATACTTGCTAGTACTCGGAATTATTAGTATTTCAACGCATTTCGCATTGTTATGATGTTTTCTACATACCTAGAAGAATTCAGTGGTGAGCAAAAACGTTAACTAGCAAATATTTGCTAGTTTTAAACCGATGCCCATATGACTCACAATGATATCAAAGGCACAAACCTTCCTGCCCAAACTTTTATAATCGTTATATTCAAATGTTCACAATAACAAACGCCAAAAAAATCATTCTGTCTTCATGGACGAATTGCTCTACAAGAAAACTTCATATTTGAATATAATTATAGCAATTTCAAATCATAATGATAGTAGCAAAGTGCAGCAAAATAGCTTATAATAACACATGTCTGCAGCGCATGAATATACAGTCAAGATGTGATTTTTTCACAATACGAGAATATATCATTGAGAGGCGATTTTTTTTTACAAAGTGAGAAATATTCCTGTCATATCTTAATTCTATCTTGAATCTGGTTGATCTGCTAGCGTGGTTTACAAGTAGATGACTCCGTTAAGGTGTAGAAAATCAGCGTAGTTTGGTACTTAGGAACGTTTTGCTATTAAGATAAATGGCAAACCTTGAAGAGAATAGGCAAAAGGAAGAAAACATATGGATTTCCTGAGTTCTACATTACATTATTTTACTTATAATTCTTTTAATTTGCAGTACAAAAGGATCTGGAAAGACAAGCTGCAAATAATTTTCTTCGAACTGGAATCAACATCACTGAAATGCGGTAGAAGGATACGACAGCGGTACCTCAGCAATCTTTTACCAACTGACGTCGAATCTTACAGCCAACATGTGTGATCTCCAACCAACTCTGTGTATTAATCTCCATGCCTTCTTGTATTCTCATTTTCGCTCAATCAAATATTATATAAAGTAAATACTATCTTAGTCAATGAATGATCCATTACTCCACCTCGCTCATCTTAGGAAGCACGTGGAAAATATAGATCAAATGCTGAAGAGATCCCTCCATGATACCCCGTTCCACATAATATTGAGACTATTGTCTTCCAAACACTAATTACCAAAGGCCTTCTATACCTGCATTATTTGTTTATATACACTATCATGGAATAAACTGATTATTTGTTGCGTGTCAATATAACTTTTATCGATAGAAGGCTATGTGCGTTTTTTATGTAGGCAAGTAGCGGAAATACGGCAACTTTGATAGGTTGGGGAAAAAATTTGAGAGATGCTTGCAACTTTTTTGTGTGTCGGCCATTTTTTATGAGGTAGTTTGAGAGCTCATCTTGCTCCGCGTCGATTGGTATACAATTCATCTACTTCATTGATGCGTTGATGATGATGATGCTGATGCATCTTGATGCGTTCACTTGCCACCGTTGCATTTGAACCCAACAGCTATCCATGCATCATCTACTACCTAATTTGCACGCTTCTTAACTCCGTCTTGTATAAAGCAGATAATTTATATACCAATTAATGCGGGAGAGGACGTGCTTTTAAACGAGCCCAAGAACACAAAGAATGGCCGACACCAAGAAAAGTTACAATAATTTTCTCAGAACTTTTTCCTCAACCTATTACAATACGTCTACGAAGGCTTCTTCAGAAGTTGAAGTTGTGAAGAAAGATTTCAGACACCCACCATCATCAAACAGAGAAGACTACGCTCTTTTGAAAGCATTCAGATTCTGAAAAAAAAGGTGTGTAGTTCTTCATCTTTGTCCAGGCACTGGACGAAACGCTATGGTGTTTTTAAACATGGCAGCCTAAAAACGGTTAGTTTTTTGGTTGTAATTTCAGAAGTCGTTTTCAAACTAAAGATTTGAGAACAGCCTTCAACTGAATCGCAATCGCAGAGGTTCGTCGCCAAGTTTTTTACATTCCGTCACTACTTTGAACTTGAGAAATTGGAAGCGCTTGAGTTCATTTTTCGTCATTGATTTGACACCATAGAGTGAAACAGTGAAGGAAATAATAATAAAATGCGCCAGTCAAGAAGATATCTGAACTTGTAATGATGTACTATAGATGATAATTTGGATAATAGATTTTGTTTCAAAAAGTGATTGGAGCAGTGCAGTGGATAGGGGTCCACCACGATGTGCATATGGTTGATTCGATCTGCATCTCGGGTTAATCAAGCCCGTTCGTCACCCTTTGGAGTCAGGAAATCAGCACCAAACTCATGTGAGATTTTGAGAATACCTCCCTGATATTTATAAGTATTCATAGGCCTTCTATAGGCTGATAAATATAATTTATAAATACTCTGATCTTTACAATGCTCAATGGAGTTTGATATATGGCAAGCCATCAAGGATTGAATCAACGTCTAAAGCCCTTATGTCCTTCTAAGAACCACATAAATCCTGACGTCCTCATTGTTGCCAAGCAAAACTGAGCTCTCTGCGTGCTTTTTCAGATGCTGTAAGCTCTTAGACACTGTTGAAATACAAGCGCTGATCGTCAGATTAATTCTATGAAAATCCAGCCATCACTTCATAGGATTGACACTGTTGAAATACAAGCGCTTATCGTCAGATTAATTCTATGAAAATCCAGCCATCACTTCATAGGATTGAGTCGTTCTACTCATTTCTGAACATCCAAAGAACGTGAGAAAGAAGATGTGCATTCCACATGACTAATTTATGCATTGAATAATGCTCATTATCTCTTACCACAAATTTGAAGCCTTTTGCGATACAGCTGAGCCTGAATTATGAAAGCTCAGTCTACGATTAGAATAGAGCAGAGAAACATTCGGTCACATGTATTTGGAGGATTATACTCAAAGAAAAATGAGTAGCAATAATGTAAGATGCGGTGTGAGTGTAAACAAAATCATTCAAAGTAGTGGTCTATAATCTCTGAAGACCAAGAGGCTAACACAAAAAGTCGAGAACGAAACTTGACCGAATGAAAAAGGAGAGATTTCTAATAAATCTATACATTAAGTATGACTAAGCTGTACGGATTGATATTAATTGGAGGTACTATTAAATTGAGGAAAAAGATTCTTAGCACATGTTGAAAATTCAAAAATTACATATAAAGTCAATACAAAATAAGAATAAATATCCCCCAAAATAGACCTAATAGAATTGAATGGTGATCAAAAATACGACCTCAGACGGGAGTCAAACCCGCTTTTCATCCATACCGGAGACGTGTGTTACCACTACACCACCAAGGTATATTCGCACCACCACTCATTTTTCAACATCTCTATGCAATCGTACCTCTGTGGTGTAATGGTAACACACGTCCCCTTAAGGATGAAACGCGGGTTTGACTCCCGTCTGAGGTTGTATTTTTGCTCACCACTCAATTCTTTTAAGTATATATGAAGCATCATAAACCTGCGCAAAGATAGTAAAAACACTATAGATCTGGAGTATTACTTCGGAATAGAGACCATCATTGTCCTCGATCTCCTGCCAAGGATCTGCAAGCTTTTGAATTGATCGATATCATTCCTTGGGCTTTGGATCAACGAAACTCTTGGCATATCTCTTCAACTTGATCAAATGTCTCGAATCGGCGTCCATGCAGGAAATTTTTCATTGAGCGGAAAAGAAAATAATAGGACGGTGTAACATCTGGACTGTAGGCTGGGTGCAGCAAGACCTCGACTTTCTCCATTTTATTTAACTTTCCATAAGTCTTCTTTGCGGTGTGAGGTGAGGGCATTGTCTCGCTGAAACAACGCGCGTTTTCGACTAATTAATGTCAGGTACTTTTTCTTCAACGCATAGTAGACTCGGGTCGTGGGAGATCCTTATGGATATCCCTGAGATATTCCCATGATTTCACAATAACCGATACTGTATGAAACAAACGTACAACTTCAATTTTCCGCAGGTAGTTGTGACGTGAGGAATATCTCAATATTAGTCCCATTTTCAGCTAGGCTTCAAGTTTACTTTTTCTTTCTTTTTTTTATCTCTCCTTTCTGCCTTTTTTGAAAACGGTAAATCGTTTTCGTCAATCTGTGACGTTATATCTGATAAGGAGGTTTACAGCGCACTGTTATGGCGTAGCTATAGTGATTGTGACAGGATTTCACTTATGCAACGCTGCACGGAGGAGACGTTTCAGAAATGCACGGAAAGAAGATTATTCTTATGAGATGACATGCATTATGTAAAATCTCATAAAGAAATGCTGGTGCTTGAAACTATACTCCGTCTTTCATCATCAAACTCTGTACGTTGGCGAAGTTAGTATATGAGAAACGCAGTTTGTTTCTCGTGAAAACACAGTCAGCTGAGGTTTCGGCGAATTTATTTGCAATGAAAACCAGATTGGGGCATCACAATTCGAGGATATTCGAAGCAAAACATCATGAATAGATTGGAAAAATTCCAAGTTACAGGGAGGAGATATTTTCCTTGATATACTACGATTCCGACGGATATAGGAATTCAATGACAAGGAGATGCTGAGCAATACATATATAGTCACTCGTTCAAGCCCCACACAGAAACAGCAACGCCTCTTGACGTTGTCTTTGAAAGGTCTTCATAATTCACAAATGGCCGGCCACTACTGTAGTGAAGATGTGTGGAAGTTACGGTAAAGATATTCCAGGATGCGAGGTAGAATCAATTCAATCAGAAGTCATCGAGAATCATGAGAAAGACAATATTCTGTGATACACGACGTACTTATGCGCGAATCAGAAGATCTCCATTGATAACACGTGCATGGAAATGAGTCGAAAGAAAAATGCTAGTATGCTCCATTCTGAGTAGACGAGTCGTATACATAAATATGTAACAATGTGACTATGGTGTTCATTATAAATAAAAAAAGCTGCGAAAGGGGTGTACGAGTGTGATTTGCGAGCATAAATCCCTCATCTCTGCATTGTCGGAAACAAAGCGTTGTATGATTATCTGATCATTGAATACTTTCCCTAGCAAAAGAATACCATCGCAAACATCTGATGTTAACCTCCAAATATTTCCAAATCACCATCATTCCGAGTCAGATGCAGGATACAAAAAATGGATGATCAACTTACAAAGCATAAAACCAAATGAGTGGGCGATTTATCTTGCATCTTGTCTGACTTATTTCCCATGTCTACATATGTTTCAGTGTCACGGATCACGGTCAAGACAACGTAATGCTCTATTAAGGCGTACTAAAAGCTGCTCTTATTCGTCACTTTACTCTCCACAGCTGGTGGAGATCATGTATAATTTCATTTCATGTGATTTCCCTCTAGAAACTGTAGATTACACTGCAGAGACGAAGTCATCGTTCACAGGCAGACGCGAATGATAGTTCATGACATAGTAATTATAGGCGATAGAGTCTAGATCGTTCACAAATGGTCTAGACATTCATAAACTTCTATAAAGCGTTATATTGTGCGTGAAATATCATCATCCAGGAATATCCACATGCGCTATGAGAACAAGGACTCTGAACAAGCAGCCATCTCACAAACTCATGCTATTTTTTGGACTATTTCCGACACTGGACTAACAATGTTGAAAACAATGTACTGAGGCGTTTTTTAGGCTGCACAGATTAGATGATAAGATGATGTTGTCGTTCAAAGATACGATGATACCTAGAATTCCACATTTGTGGCAGATTTATGTCTTTCCAAAGCGTCATACTGCACTTTTCAATGGAAGTACTAATCTCATTTACATAACTAGACATCGAATTTCGCCTAGATCCAGCAAATTTCGTCAGGGTTCATTATTTCGGCGGTTATCCGTGAAGATTTTCGTATTTGCCATGTGAACTCGGTCGCTGCTCAATGATTTTTGGTCGTCTCTCTAATTGTTTTGAATGTCGGCAGAGTCAAATCTATTTTGAATACTGGAATAATTCCATTAGAGCACTTCCAGGTCTTCGTAACATGTAGTAACTAATTTTCATGGATCAAACGGAGCTCATTCTTCCAATAGTGGTGTCTGCCGAATCAAGAGGATTGGGAAGTATGGTGTTTTGGGAGGTGTCGAACAAGTAATCCGTGAATATTACTACTCGGCATCTCTTAACAACAGCGCTTCCCCGTCCCAATTCACATCAGTACGAATTAGTTTTGAATAATTCATATGTGAGCTTTCAAAAAATTATGACCATCTCATTAGGAGCAGAACATTAAGCTGTCGCTCGAGGGTACTCATGGTAACCATTTTGTTTTTGAAGCTGCAAAGTACAACTGTGTAGCCATTTGAGCTTTGTCACTTTTGATCAATGAGACTCCACCATATGCACAGTTAGTTTTGTAGCAGCACTAATCACGCTTACATTTACTCCGACTTTGTGTAACTTCCAGCGTTCCAATCACTCTTTGCTACACAATATCAATAAACTAGGCGCTTTAAACAAAAAATAATCACTGAACTTTCTGTGCCACTCATATCCCAAGAATGGCAAACGTATAAAATGTACTTGAAGCAAGGATTCCTTCAGCGCAAATAAACGATGCATGCATGGGAGCTCCCACTGAGGACTAATTGAGCAAAACAACAATCACTCGGTTCGAAAACATGCAAAATGGTAGGATTCGCAACCCCAAATGTCTATCATTTTACAATTCGTATCACCTGAAATGCAGAAGTGTAGCGTAGTTGTCGTGAAAGTGTTCATTATGAAAGCGGTGTTGCTACGTCAACATTGGCACCAGAGTTGTCTAGGCCAATCTTACTTCTTCATATCTACGTAAGAACGCTCTAGCACAGTCGTCACAGAACTCGAAGGAGAATGTACTGGACCAGCATTCAACGGCATTCATTAGAAAACGAAAGTTTCTAAACAGCAGCAGCAAAATTAATGAGAGAAAAGTTCAAAGACCACTGCGGATGGCCGCTATGATGAACTCATGGGGAATGTATGAAGTGCTGAGATCCGTATCGTAGATGTGAAGATATATCACGCGAAAAAAATTGCCTGTTTTAAAAAGAGAGTATCGCGGTGGTGATCCATAATTATATGAACGGCATAACTCACCCAAGCTCTGATTCAACTTCGCTGTGAAGCTTTCGACTTCGTGGTCTCGAAATTTGTGTGGAACTCATCTAAGACAATCTCACTTTCTCTAATCGACGCATAATGAGACATTATGCGCAGCTCCAGAATTCCGAGGAGACTGGACTTGACCACCACGAAACGGCATTCGTAAGGGGAACGAAAATCACTAAATTGCAGCCGAACCTATGTCTAAAAAGTTCGAAGACACTCGCGGACGGTGGATGTGAGGAAGCTAATCAAGCACAAGAGGTGCTGGAGTATACACAGTGTGATACATGTGATGTTGGGTAATATAATTATTGTAAAGAATTTCACGTGCAATCCAGTTGATCACTGAATAATCTGAGCTCGATCAACAAATTCTATTCGGCACTTTCGAGCATTAGAAATGCTCTATGGATTTCGCCCACTCCAAGAATAAAAGGGTGCATCACAACTCCAATTTTTGCTCTCCACTATTCCTACAATCATGGGTAGCTTGGATGACTTCAACATGGTATTGTTTAGTCTTATCCAAGACTCTGGATATATACGTCGATCTATTTGTCTCAGAACTTTCCGGATAAAGCAATCCGTGTTGGACATTACAGCTTGGCATGCAGGAAAACAGAAGCTTTAATGAGGACAAAAACTAGTATCACTTGTAACCTCGCTACAAAGACTCAAGAGGATTGTAAAGGACCATTTACTTCTTGCCGCGTTGGAGATGTTTGGTAGATGCAGCTTGAAGGACATGTAGATCTCAAATTCCAACATAGGCTTTTTATTTCCCTCATAACAAGTTATCGGGGTTCCATGGCCGAGTAATTGCGATGCCCGTCGCGCTGGGCATGGAGCTTACCTCCACTCGCAACGCTCAGCGGCAGTCAAAAAGAAGGCCCTATGGAACGCCATAGCTAGGCTATCCTCGACATTGCAAGGAGGCATGCTCGACCAGTATTCTACGCCATTCAAGAAGAAGATGACAATCGAATCAAATGTTAGAAATACTGAGATTCGCACAATAAAAAATTGTGACGACAGATCGTGTAAATTAATGAATAATAATAATAAATAGTAACAGTTTATCACAACTAGTCTGTCAAGTTTCTCACAAAATAGGCATAAAATATTGTTGGAGACGAAATAATAGCTTATTTTTTTCCCAGTAATTCAATCGAAGAGCGGCGGGCTCTGCACTGATTGTGGTAATGATCGTTGAGACCACGATTCCCATTCAACTTGGAGCGAGTTCACCAAACCTCTCATTCTTCGAATGAGGACAGATTCGTACCAAAACTGACAGGGAACAGTTCACTTCCTGCATTC